TTCCTCCACTGCTCCCAACCACAAAAACATAGACAACACTATCACAACGCATTATTGGGTTTTGGGGTGCTTTTAAGTGCATTTGATTAGACAATTGTTCAGCAGGCTTTGCTCGGAGCTCAGCATCTTTCAAGACCTGTCAACTCTCGCTAACCAATGATGCACCATGACTCTGCAAAGCGGTATGAAATCAGAAATCAAATCACTCTTCCAGCAAAATGTAACTCATTCAGGTGATTTTCATAAAGGTCACGAGAACCACGAAACAAGGGGAGAAACTACAGGCTGGTTTCGGTTCTTGCAAATGACTGCCAGCATATGAAATATGCAATATTTTAAGATTTATCAAAAATAGACAAACCAAGAATTTTCAAAGTGTTGTTTGTAGAAATGAGAATCCTTTTAAAATATGCAAACAACATATCCTGATGGGTTGGCTTTCTGTGTGCTTTTTTGTTTTTTGGAGCACTGAACTATTTCAGTACAGAGCCAAAACCAGAGTATCAGCATCAAGAGTACGTGGAGAAAAGGAAGATAGAGGAAAAAAGAAAACCAGGAGTCCTAGACACTGTAGATCTGACTGATTTCTGACACACTGATGCAGTATACACCTACTAACTAGAATTAACTTTCACGAACATCAAGCATGGCAATAAAAATGTGCTGTTAATTCCTATTAATTTATTAATACAATGGAAAGATGTCATGTTTGATGGTTGTTTCGTAATTAAAATCATGTTTGCTGTTTCAAAAAAGCAAATTGATTTTTGCCACTGTGAGTTATCCCGCTTTATTACCCCTACCTTATAACGCGTTCCACAGGGACAGACCTCTGCCTGCTGGTGGATTTGTGCTCTATCAGATTGGGAAGCACAGAACAAGAATGTATGAGCAAGCAGGCTTTTGCCTTGAAAACTTCTGGACATCCATATTTTATTTCCTATTAATAGTGGATTCATTATGAAGCAACTGATACATTTTTGTTATTAATAAAAAAGAATGCCTCGCATAATGCATTGACTTTCACTGCTCAGATTTTAGCTCTGCAATAATATTTTTCAGAGTCCTACTGCTCTTTGAACTCCGTACACAACTTATTTATGTTTTCTCCACAAAATGTCCGCTACTTCAAACTTGTACTATACACAGTTTGAAAACAAAACCTGACACAGGAAAACAACAACCACGGAGGGGAGCAGCACAGCATTCTGAGCAGCGGTCACAGTGACCCTTCTGCTCAGCATTATGCTGCCCAGATGCTGGAGGATCCAGTCACACCAACCTCTGAGATAACTTTGGAGTGAACCCATTACGTAGGCTGTTTTTGTTTCTTTTCTTTTTTTTTTTTTTTAAACACTTCATGTCTGGAAACATCTTTAAAAACAGAGTGAGCAGGAGAGGCTGTGGGACGGTGCACTTCCTGGGAGAGGCAGCAGCTCTGAGCAGCATGATGCTTTCCATCGCCTTATAAACAGAATCACAGCTTCCAAAATATTCCTTCGGAATGCACATCAACAAACAAATAACACCAAAACAACAGTTGCTTTTTTTTTTTTAATGACAAAACCACAGATGTCAGTTCATGGTTACGCCTCCTATCAATGCTAACAGGGGAAAAGGTTTAATAAACATGGATAAAATGTTTTCAGAATATTCCAATGTTTCAGGCCTTTTCTTCCAAGGGTCATGTCTTCACTTCCACTTACATTACATCAAAGTGACAAGCAGTAATTTAGTTCAATAAATCCCGTTTTGTTTCTTGTCAAACCCAGAGATCTATAGCTGCCTATATTAATGCCAAATTCCACGAGCAGCACAACTGCCCTCCTCAACTCATGGGCAAAAGAGGAATAGAAACTGAACTCTGAAGCTCCTGAGAAGAACGTGGGAGCTGTTGCTCAGCTAAGGATACACAGTGCAACAAAACACCACCAACCACAAGGATCAGCTGGAGCCAGGCCAGAGGGAGAAGGGAAACACAGTGTTTGGCAGCCATCCCCTCCTTGCCCAGCACGATGCCCAGGGGGGCAGCACTGTGCCTGCAGCACAGATGAGGACACTGCCCACAGCCACCCGTGTGTTGGCTTTCTCAACACACACAGCTGTGAGCACCCTCCTCCCAGCTACCACACAGCACAGCTGTCTTACTCAGAGTTATTGCTTTCAGCACATAGCTCCCACATCCTCCGTGAGCCCTATATTATCATGGCATACTGCTTCCCCTCCCCACAGGATGGAAAAACTCCAGCTACTCAAGGCTCACATCTCCCTGCTCAGTGTGAGCTTATTTACAGACAGCCACAGGGACACTTGAACAAACAGTGCATGGGAAAGCACTGCTCAGCCCAGCACTCTGCAGCCAGAACATCAAACAGAGTATGGCCACCACAGTAACAAATAGGCATTCAGTGTTTCCAGAGGCTTGGACATGAGTTTAACTTGGTCCTCTATGTCAAGAACACTGTCAAACCTCCCAGTCCCAAAGTCCTTTCTCAGAGAACAGAAAGTTCATGGGTTTTTCAACAAAGTTTGCATAATAAAAACATGAAATCCAACAACTTTCCCACCTGTCTTACTCTCGTGAAAGCTATGTCCATTTTTATTAGAAAAAAATCATTAAGTTTGGCAATATTCAAAGCCATTGAAAACCACATTCTTTTAATAGAAAATGCTGAGCAATCTTGGTACACTCATACAATAATACATGGGGAAGATCCAAAGAGCAGAGCTGGGCCACTAGATCAGAAGCTTCACTGTAAGCTTAAAGATCCATTTTTTTCAGCACAAAAGTTGCTATGCTATGCACAAGCTAGTCTGAACCTGCTCATGATGTAGCACTTCTATATACTACAGTTAGTGCACTATGTTATGCTTAAAAAACTAGAAAGTAAGTATCACTGCTTGGAGTGATGTTCCAGTGCAGAGCAGAAACTTAAGGAACTATATTTGGGTTTTGAGAATACAGGCTGTAGAACCATGCAAGCACCACAAAAATATAAGTTGACTGTGAGCAATCTTCTCTCATCTTCTAACATAAAACAAAGCAATTCTGCATAGAGTTTAAAAAAAAAAAAAAAAAGAGGAAAAGGCAGAAAATTTATCTTTACAATGCATCTAAACAACCTATGAAACTAGTTATTTACAGGAATTTCTGAAGTAAACAGCTTTACAAAACTGAAAAGGGTACTCCAGTTGTAACACCAGGTAGTTCTCATGCCAGTATAGATGTGGCAATACAAATATCTTATGTAAGGCTATTAAGCCACATATTTCAAGGCTTAACAGACTGTCCTATTAGGCCTGAGGATGTCCTAGATCAGGATGAGACACGTAAGGAAGACAAACTGTCCTGTAATTGCTGCTGGAGTTCCTGCACCATCCTTTGAACTGTGCCATTTTTCAGCAGTGAGGACAGGACTCCACACTGATCGGACTTTAGACTTCAGCAGCAGCAAGTGCCAACATTCCAGCTCCCAAGAATGCATGTGAACTATGACTGAGATCACTGAAACTCTCACATGCCCACGTACAGCCATTTCACCCTGCAATGTGCAAGATTATCTTAGATTTACTGAACGTGGTACCTCACAACAAGAAAAATCTTCAGTCCTGAACACTGCAGGCACAGCTGTTCTCAGTGCTTGCTTAAGGAAGGGGCTGCACGGCAGCAATGGAAATTTAACTTGTGCCACCCACAAATTTCTAATTGTGTGTGAAAAATTAAAAGGCATTTCAACAAAAAGGGTATGTCAGAGTGCACCTGAGAAGAAGCTTTTCCTGCACTGAGATCGTTTTTTTTCTACTAATTTTTGCTCTAGAAAACCACATGTCAAATATAATTATGTTTTCCTCATGGCAGTCAGGTTGTACACCCACCCAGATTTCTAGACAAAGTCCAATAATAAATGGCCTAACTGCTTGACATCTTACCACTATTTGTGCTTATTTATACAAAGTTAGAGGATACAATATTCCTAAAAAGAAAGTGAAAAATAATTTTTTTTGGCTATATACAACAGAGAAGCCAAGTACTGGGGCAAAAGGAGTAACAATAGGATCAAAACACGCCACTATGCAACCAAGTCATAAGCAGGTACCAAAGCACTGCTGCATGGGTTCTGTTCAGAGAACCTGGGACAATCACCCTCAAATAACTTGTAAATAGCTGCAATTTATCAGCACTTCCAGTGGAACATCCAGGTTGCTGTACTAAAGAACTTCAGGACGCTTTCTTTGAATGGCACAAGAAAAAGATCAAACTTTCCTTCTATAAATGCTACGCTTCTAGCAGAGAAAGGAAAGCTTAATTAACTGCAATAAATAACTGCTGTAGGTTACATTGCAGGATCTGCAACTCTGGTGCTGGTTTTGAGCCAGTCACCTTGACTGTTTTCTGACTGATTCTGCCTGCTTGAGCAATTTCCAGTACAGTGAGAGCCTGTACCACAAAAAGGCAATAAGGTGAAGGCTGTAAAGTTATCTGCTCGTATCTGGCATTCAAATCCACCTCTGCTGGAGCTTTCCTAGCAGCATTGTTATACAGTGACAGAAATAAAACCTGCCCTTGGCAGTCTGGTCGATAACTCATCGGATGAGTCTTCCACAGTCACCGCAGTCTTCCACTCCTCAGTCTCATGTTTGATATTATCACTGAAGGATCAGTGAAATTCCTTCATCATGACTAGCACGGAGAGCCACTGCTTTAGATATGAAATAACATATTGTGCATAAGGGAGCATGGTAATCACAGTGCCAATTTGATGGCTCAAAGCCATGCCTGGAGCAGCACAAACTCTATGCATTCCAAATGCCTTAAAACACCTGTGAGTCAGCACCACAAATACAATGCTGCTTTCTAAAGAAACCACATTCAAGAAATGCTAACCTAAATACATATCAATGCTTTATTAGAGCCTGAGTTCAGCTGTTGAGTACAGTCACAGTAATGGTCAGAACCTTACATTTCATTTTATTTGCTTAAAATCTCAAAATTATCTTACCTAATGTTTCCTTTTGTAGCTCATGGCATCTGCTTTGGAGCTCATTTCCTTGCTGAAGAGAAGTTTGAAGCTGTTGAGTTTTCAGCTCAACTGTATCAGCCACCAGAGTCAGATGTTTTACCTTTTCCTGAAGGCACTCATTCTCCTTCTGGGATTTTGCTAACTTTTGATTCAGTTTGGGTATTTCTGAGGAGAAAAATCATATAGCCTGCTGTCAAATTTACCTTCTTCATTAAAAAGGATCTCACCTGTGAATGCTAGGTCAGGGCCTGAACCAATGACTGAGTAGCAGGTGAGAAGCTGTGGCTAATGCAAAGCATACAGGTGCAAGCAATGCAACTGGGTGACCAGAAGGGATAGACCCAGGGCCCACCCTTCCTCAATCTCATTTAAAGGAGCAGGATCTTTATTTGGAGATTGCCTCTTCTGGAGGCTTCAATGACTTTTGCAAAGGGTAATCCATTTCCCTGTATTGTCTTCTGAACTATATATTGACAAATACCTTTACAAGCATGTTTGTATCCTGATAGAAGGCAATATCAGGACTTTCCCTTGCTCCACACCTGATTTACAGCTTCAAGACTTCAGCATTCTGTAGCCTTACTCCACACTTACATCAATTTATTGTTAGACTAAACAACCTAAATGGCAAAAGGTTAAGTTTTTATACCTGTATTTACTTGCTATTAAGTAACCAAGGTTTAATGGGTTTTATAATTTCTTTTTTCAAACAAAGGCAACTGGTCTAGGCATAAGGAGTAGCAATTCATGTAACATTTCTTCCCTTGAAGTTTCATGTAAAAAAAACAAGCTCTGAAAATCTTGTTGCAAAATACAGTAAGACAAAATAAAACAATCATATGTTCATGTCACCATATGTTAACTCATAAAACAGAGCATAAGGACTTCTGAACATCACTCAGAGGCTGAAAAAAAATGCATGACTACCTTGCTTGGATTTAGAAAGCCAGATCTAAGGACGTGTATCATATTCAGAGTGTGGCACTATTCTTAGTGGGATATGTTGAAAGCAGCTGAGGATAACTAGCACCCATAGTAGCACAAATAGTTAAAAGAACCTGAAAGGCTGTCCTTGTGCTCCAACAGATGTCTTCCACATATACAGTTCTCGCAAACAAAACAAGTACTTCAGAAAAGAAGCTTAGCAATGTTATGAAACTCCTTGAACCTGAATATGTCTGCAGAAAGGCATGTACATACTCTCCTGATTAGCTAGAAAGAACACAGAGAACACAGGAGGAGGGGAATTCTTAGGAACACACAATACTTTCTGTGCTTGGTCTAATTAGGAGATGAAGTCATGAATCAAAGTGCAAGACACTGACATTTCCTTTGATTGTTGCTACAGGGGATGCCACAGAACAATTTCTCTGTGCTGGCTCTGCAGACAGGACCTTCCTGACCAGTTCTGTGCTAGGTGATGTCAGCTTACCAGTACTTTGCAACCTTATAATCCTGATACAGTTATACTCCAGACCAAATATTGGTTTATGTACTGATACACACTAAAAAATACTGTAAGAATTTGAATACAAAGATGCATAGTATGACCAAAGGCATTAAAGTTGCAAGAGCCAACACACAGCTTCTTTGGAACCCTTAGATGGTGCAGTTTGCCATTACGCTGCTGTTTTTTTTGTTGTTTTTTTTTTTTCCCAGCAAAACTCCTTTCTCAGCTGAGGCAGAGCAGAAGTGTTATTCAAGCATAAATTTGAGTTTTCAAACTCACTGCCTGCCAGCATACAACATGATAATTTACCTGTCAAAGCTTCTTTGCTAACAGTTCTTATTTGTTGAAAAATTTCTTCTTTCAGGGCAGCCCAGCTCTCTAGGTTACTGGACACAACTTCTTTAATACTTTCTAGTTCTCTTCTGATGAAAGGAAACAGAGAGACAGCCCTGCTCAGAGTTGAGCAATGGTGTTCCAATGTACTTCTGCAAAGCAGAAAAATAACAGCAACTATGAGAAAATACCTTACTTGTAAGCCTGATAACTACTTTTCTGTTACATCTTATTTTATAGTATATTGGATTACAATTCATTATGAAATACATTGGATGAAATTTACTATAAGTTCAACGTTCTTCTCAACGTTGATTTTAAACTTAACATGTAAAAATGAAACAGTTACTTTTTATTGAGAAATCAGAGCAACAGTGCTTAAAGAACTACCTCTGTAGGCTCATGCTGAACTGTTACAAACAATATGTAAGGAATACTTATCCCCACTGTATTAAAAGTGGTACCCACTTCCTTCAAAGTGTTCTTTAATGTGTTTTAAGTTGTGAAAAAGTTAGCCTGCTGCTAAGAATATCAGCAATCACATGTTCTGGTTACCCCTGCTAACACTACAGCGTCTCATATATCCTGGGTAAGCAAAACCAGGGGATGATTCCAAACACTTCTCACTCACAGCATTCCTCCTACCTAAAAGAAATCTTTTCAGCTGACCACGTGCCACAGGCATTGCCAAAAGCAAAGCTTTTTAGGTTCTCACCTGAGCAGCTGGGATTGTTTATGGGCAGCTTCCTTTTCTTCCTGGAAATACCGCAAGTCTTCTTTCACATTTTTTAGTTCATCTTGTTTGGTTTTTAACTCCATTGTTAGGCTTGTTATTCTATAAATGTAAATAAAGTGAGGTATTACTCAACTTTAAAACAAAAATATACTAAAGTCTTTCCAGTGATGATATCTGCCTCTTTCAGGCTGACATATCAATCTTCAAGTGGAGAGAAGCAAGGGAGAGTGTCTTATCAGGACCTTCTCTCCTATTAAAAATACAAATTAAAATTTGTTCCATCTATGCTTCAGTTACAGTCATGTACATGAGATTATGAGATGCGTGGTACAAAGTGGCAAAACCCCATTCTCTCAGTGCTGCGCAGCACCCAGCTGACGAGAGGGGCTGCACTGCATCCCACCTCAAAAAAGCAGGACTGAAACCAGACAGCTGATCAGACAGTGCAGTGTGCTGAGTGAGATGGGGCTTTCCCTGCCTCTGGGCTTTTCCAGCCTCACCTCTTGCTAGCCAGACCAGCACAGGGCACAGCCCAGCTGAAACCCAGGGCAGGCAGAGCACGTGCTGCATTGGGCACATCTCACACAATGCCCTGGAAACGTGCAGAGATGCCTGCTGTGGATGGCTGCTGAGTGCATTTGCTAACATTGGCATGTGGCTTTTTCATAATCATTAGTTGGTAATCATAGAGCAACGTCCCCATGTCCTCATGTGACTTGCTTTAAGTTCTGTACATATATTTTGAAACAAAATGGCCCCATGATGACACATGGGACAAGAAACCCAGCATTTCTTTTCCACTAGCACCTGCTTGCATGAGAAGGATGGCCCCTGGGGTGCACTGGGGAGCTTTTCATCACACCACAGCCCTGCTGCACACACAGGCCACATAATTGTCGTGCTGTCCACAGGGGTTGGTAGCTCATCTGTACATCTTGGCTTCTAAAAAATCACTTTTTGAACATTCTCATCATAGCAGTGGTTCTGATCTGTTTATCTTTCAAGCACAGCTATAGCAGTGTTAACTATCTACACTGAAAACACTGTTCTCTCAACAACTCCTGAGTTATTCCCACAATTGTAATGAAATGAATGGAAGTGCACAGAACTAACAGCTGAGCCAACTCGTGCAAGTCAAGTAAATAAATGATCTGTTTGTCTACGAGTGACTCACTGTCACTAGTAAATAAATACTTGAATCCACAAGTACTTCACAAAACCAAAGGATGGAGGAGGTATTACACCAGCATTTCCTTCAATTTTAGAAATACAGAGAAAACAAGAATGATTTGTAGCAAGAAGTTAAGCCTTAATATTCATGTGTGTTAGCTAATGTTATCAGATGGATCATCTATAATGCATCTGCATGAAAATGCAAATTTAACAACCAGCAGTCCTGCTAGAGAAACCTGGGTCTGCAGAGCTCAGCCAAATCCATAACTGAACATCTGGTACTTAAGAAGCAAGTTGTTGGGGCCCAACTGTGATCACTGAAAGGAAAATATATATACAGATATTTCTAATTTTGGCATTATCTTCCTAGGAAAAATTTCCCCTACCTACCTGTAAATGTCCTTGCATTTTAGTTTTAAAATGCAACTTGCAAGTAAGAGCAGACATTTGCTTTCTCTTTCCATTCCAAAGATTTGGTATAATGAGGTTAGCATAGAATTGCACCCTCAGAGCTCAAAGTGACATTACCAATATTTTTTCATCATTCACACACAAAAGAACAGGTAGACAGGGCAAGACATTTGCACCCTGTTTACTCTCATTCTCATAAGGAGGACAAAATAAGCATGCTATTTTGGTGATATTTAGCACAAAGGAAAGAGTTCAGTAGATCACTCAGTGACATAATTAAAAGAGAAGTATGAGAACATAGTGATCTTGCATTCACTGTTATCTTTATTAACTCAAGAGAAATAAAGCGTATTGTGAAGACAGTCTGAATTATCTGCATTCAAGCAAAGGTAAAACCGCAGATCAGCCTGCCAAACGATGACAAAGATGGCTGCCTCATCACAACCAGCTCAAAATCGATCTCTGAAGAAACCCAAGACTTTATTTCCCAGTGCTACCTATCTGGCTACCAATTTCAGCTCCAGTAATTACAATCTATTGAATCTCTGCCCTCACAGCATCACTCAGGAATCGTTTCTTCTAAGGGACTAGAGTTATCTGAATCGACAGATTGAAAAATGAGATTGTAGTTATGAGCAATTTGATAAGTGCCTAGAAAAGAAATGACGTTAAGGCATGGTAATAATCAACAGTTAATTCCTTCTGCTTGATTTGTAAAAAATGTTTCAGGAATACAGTTACAAGGGATCTCGGACAAGTCTTACTCAGTAATACCTATATACTTCTTCAGGTCTCTATACATCATAAGATGTTTTTGCTTCTTCTCACATTCATGTTGCTCAGCACAATCATCTTTAAAAAGCATATTTAAGCCTATTTTGTATTTTTTTTTATATTGGTAGTTAGAAAAATGATCAGGCTATGGGTGATACATGCACATGGGTACTATAAATAGGGGGTACCCATGTGCAGTGAGGTCAGTAAGTTCAGCCCGAGGGAGCACAGGGCTCCCATGCAGAGGGGTTCAATTCCAGCATACCTGTACCTCCAGGAAGATAGGATGGTAAGCCCATGACAGTTCCCCTTCTTCTGACCAAGTCCCAGAAGGGCAGGTGACCAAGTTCCACAAGAGCTGAAGTTCCCAGGCAGCTTTCAAGGTTAACCACAGGTACAACAATAGCAATACAGTAACCAAAAAAGAATATAAAAATGAAACCGTCTGCATCTAACAAGAAAGATTAAATCTCTTGGTCTACCAGAGATGAAAAAGGGTGTATTTGGTTTCTGATAAAAACTTGCAGTTTGGGAAGAACGATTTGTCAACAAGAACCAGGAAGAAGATAATATGCCGAGTAGTCAGTTTGTGTCCACAGCCCAAGGTAACAAGGCAGACCCGGGATAGTACAAAGGAGATAAGGAATATTTAGACAGCTGATTTAACAAGGCACAATAGTTGATTTATGGTCTGAATGAAAGCCTACTGAAAGTACTCCATTTCATTTCAGCAGGTTTTAAATCAAGTCAATCCTTAGGGGGAAAAAATACAGAGATAAAATTTTTATTAACTCTTCCAGCTTTGCTACAAAAAGTCAGCTAAACGAGAATGTAATTCCTGCTCTGGCAAATGGTCCTCATCAGGAACATGCTGTCATCTACCTGCTAACACACAGAGTGCTGTTACTGCTACAATTGCCACCCAGAGCCCTGGGAGGAACAAGGAACAACAACACATCAGAAACATGCTGTCAAACCAAAGAAACATTGACAATTTGGGGGGGGGGAAAGCAGGTTCAGCTCCAATGAAAAAGTGTTGAAATACAGTTATGAGCAGGGTGAGGCACAAAATGTGCATCTTATTCAAGCTTGTGTGAACTTGTGTGTTCAAATGAATGTTTTATTTGCTATATTACCAAATGCTGTCCTAAATAGAATCCATTAACAGCTATGTCGAACTGCTACAGTATTTGAGTGATTTACAAAACAAAGCAAAAAAAGTAAATGGATGAGAGCACTTCAGCTACAAACAATCCATAGTTGTTTCTCCTCCAGGGTTCCCAGTCTCCTAGGAGAGCACCTAAATACCCCAGATGTTCTGTATTTTCAGGTCTAGGTCCATTGCTGATAGCTGTAAGTCAGTCACACAAGGAATGGGAGCCCTTAGAACCAGAAGGACCGACCCATACTTGAGCTTCTGACAGCGTGATTCAGACGAGCAAGGAATTACCAACAAGTTTCTGCTTCCTCTGCTCGTACCACACTATTCTAACTGTTGTTCTACTTGAACACAAAGACATCTTGCAGTACTGGAATTCTGGAGAATACAAAAGACCCTTTCGAACTAGGAGGACCTTTGTAACAGTAAAGCAGTAAGCGTTTGCAGGCTCCTACTTCAGAGAAGCACAGCCACGAGCAGCACCCAAGATGTTCAGAATTGTTTTAGTATTCTGTATCATCATTTGCTTTTCTGTATCATCATACAGATAGTGAACTGTGAGCTTCTTAGGGCACAAACGATGATGTTTAGTGTTACTATGAGACAGTAAATGCAAACTTCAGAATGGTGAAACTCCCAGGGCTGCGGGATTTCTTCAGAAGTATTACAAATGTTTTTATGACAAAATGATAAGATGAAATATTTGATCATTTCCACTTGGACTGGCACAGGGGGGAGGAAAATACACCCAAACTGCCCTCCAGCCTTTCTTTTCCTTTAAGTACGTTGACTGTTTTTAAACTACTGTGGAATTCAAAACTCATGTCTAGAGAATGCCGCAAAATGTGATTTAAATATTGCAGTATATTTGTTATATCTGATAAAAAAAAGATAAAACTTACTAGTATTTTTTACTTCTTTAGAATGACATGACCTAATACATACACATGAGGAAAAACATCACACTGGACAATATGCTCTGACCTTTCTGTTTTAGATTTCCCATCAGCTCGGCAGCGTTCAAGGTCTTGGTAAAGAGACTGCAGTTCTTCTTGAAGTCCCTTTTCCCGTTCTAGACTTCCTTCATAAAACTTGATCTCCTTTTCCATTGCTTTTATTTTTTCTTCCATCACCTTAAATTCATGCAGTATCAAATAGCTGACGCCACAGTACTTACACACCGTCTGATCCCGAGACATCTAGGGAGAGAGAAAATTGTTAGAGTGCATACAGGAAACTAGCTGAATGCAGTGACAAAATCAGAGTGACTTACGTGATTCTGAGCAGTTTCAACTCTGTAACACTTTGGAACATTTACGATCAGATTGTACTTTTGTTTACCAGAATCTTCACAGGATGATCAACTATGCAGTTTACTATGCAGGAGCTTCCACCAGAACTCTACACTGAAATATTTCTGAGTTATGTTTAATACATTACTTTAAATAAGATGAAGTACTCTGCGTTTTACTAAGTTCTCTCTTTAATGAAATCTCCTCTAGCATGAGCCAGAAAAACGTTAATTACTTTTTTTTTTTGACAACTCACACCCAGCTGAGAAGGCAAAAGGAAAAATAAGTAGTGATGTAATTCAGTCACCTATACAAAAATAATCCGAGTAAGGGTCCTGCCACTGTGATACAGTGCAAATGGCACTTGAGTGTGGTGGAAAGTGTAAGCAGTTTGCTAGGTATGAAATATTCATAATTGGGAAAGTACCTAAAGACATTAATTAAAACACCATTTATTAAAATAGGAAACTCACTTTTGTAAGCGATGAAATCACTGAGCTCTGCAGTAAGTGACACGTCATAAAAATGACCAGACAGACACGCTCGGACTTTGATACACCCTTGTTACTCAGGGTATCAGTTATCTCTGTGTATTTTAACCACTTTCATTTCCAGGAAACAAAAAGCAAAACCTCTCAGCTTACAGTGACACAGGACCAAGTCTGCCCATGAAAGGAATACAGACTGACAACGCCAGCCAGAGCCACGCAGCAGTCTGACACCACACATGGGACATGTAAGCACAGAGCAGGACACAAGCAGGCAGGATCCCATTCCCTGTTCCTTCTGGCTCCCTCTGTGACCAAAGGTTGTGCCAAGGGATCTCCTCAGGCTCCTTCCAGCCCGGGTTGCTCTCATTCTGCCATTCTGGAACACGTCCTGTTCTTGGATCACAGCACAGATGCATTTGTGAGGAAACAGTCAGAAATATGACTGGAGCAGAGGACACTCATCGCACAGCTAAAGGGACAACTTTCAAGCAACAGAAAGTTATGGGCAAGCTTTGAGGTATGGCAGTTGGAAACTGATGGCAGCCAGAGCTGTAGCTGTTTGTCTAATAAACATTCAAAGCACCCTTCAACCTATCGTGCAATTATCAACAGTTACAAGTTTTATAACAAAACGCCTTACAAAAACACAACACACACACAAAAAAAGAATGCAAACAGTTTAAGAGAAATAAGTAAAATGTAAGAATTCCTTGTGCTCTAGAAAATTAAAATAAGGACATTTTGAAACACTAGGATGAATGGAAATAAGCAATACTTAGAGACAGGAAAACAGCTCTCAAAAACAAACTATGAGGAGATCCATTACTCCACGATTTAGATACAGCATGAGAAAAAAAATGATATTTCAGGCTGCCCTGGAATCTCCAGACCAAACTTTATTTTCCAATTTCTAAGTTTTGCCCCTGTTTAAAACACCCCTCGTTACAGTTGCTCTGAATGAACTGAAAATTCAAGCTTGTTTTTCCTGGCAGCTGCAAACTGTGCTTGGAAATATGAAACTGTTACTTGGGATAAACATCGTTAGGTTCCAAAGCACTAAAATTACTCTACTGAAAAGGGACAAAATGAGCTGTTATAAGGAGGACAGAGAGGGGGATCTTATCCCCCAAAGAACATCATGCTCTCCTGCAGCACTTCTGCCTTTCAAACAAACAGCTATAGAAATTTCACTGGGTACCAAGACTGAAAAACACCACCAGTTCACTGAGCTCTCCTTGGTTTTCATTGCCACCATCAAACCAGAGCTGGCACCTGAAGCATCTCCTGGAGCACCAGTACAGAGGAACACTGCTGTGCTGCAGGTGCTGATCTCACTCCACCAACATAATGACAAAGCCATCTTGCAGCTCCTCTGACTCAAAGGCTGAAGCCAGAAAGCATTGCACGCTTTCAAAATGACTTACAAACGAAATGAATTTGGGGTTTGCACGATTTCCAAGAGAGATAACATTGCTTTGCTTGTGCATGTAATTCTCTGTGGCCATCCTTCAGTCACTTGTGAACCAGGATGTTTGGTCATTTATCACTAACCTTGGCACCGAGGGCACAAGTACTGGGGCTCCACAGGTGTCACACACAGCCAGCTGGGCACGAAGGACTTGATGAGCTCCCTTACTAAGGAATGCTCTGGAGCACAGCTCAGTCCCATTACCCTGCACAGGTAATGCATGCAGGCAGAACCTTATGCAGGTCTGTGCAGGAGAAGATCCCACTTGAGACTGTTGCTGGTACCCAAGGCACCAAGGCTCATCAGCCACTATGCACAAGCACATAGGAAACATGTCTTCATTAGTTGTTCTGCTTACAGACCTGCCTCTTCTGGGAAGGGATTATCAGTGAGTAACCACTAGGAGATCTGTGCTTTCTGATTCCATATTTCCCTATTTACATTTGACCAAAGGATTGTTGTCATTATCTTTTTCCTGTTTGCATTTGAGATAAGAGAAA